TCGTTTTCATGGAAGAGACCCTGCTGGTTCTGTTGCTGTTTCTGGAACTAAACGTGCTGCGGACTCTGCTCCTAATGAAGGAGGATCCCCCACTGCTCTCAAGTTAGTTTTCATTACCCCCTTTGGTATCTTTTTATAGCTAAACATTTTTGTTCTCACTGAGATTAAAATGGGGGGAACTTTTTCTGATGAGCTTTGTGAATCTGTTTAAAAAAATGGAAGCAGTCAGGTTGTGGGATGGCCACCCATTAGGACATACAGGATGAACAGCTTGGTCAACCAAGCCAAGACAGCCAGGGCTGAGGAGGAGGATGTTGTCTGTGAGGAGAAGAAAGATCAATCAAAGGACAGTGTGAAGAACAAAACATGTTGTGATGTTGAAGGAAAAGGGAACCTAGGATTTGTCAAAGTTAATGTGGATGGGGTTGTAATAGGGAGGAAGGTGGATCTCAATGCCCACTCTTGTTATGAGACCTTGGCCCTGATGTTGGAGGACATGTTTTTCAGGTCTGCTGGAACTCCCATTCCCAATGGTTAGTTTCTGTCTCTGTTTGAAATTTCTACCTCAACAGTTCATTAACAAACTTGGGACCAAAGATTTTCATTTTTCCTTTGATTTATGTTGTCATGGTGATTTTCAGGGCAAGGTGGAGACAAAGAACAAGCAAGAAAACTGTCTAAGCTTTTGGATGGATCGTCTGAGTTTGTGCTCACATATGAAGATAGAGAGGGAGATTGGATGCTGGTTGGAGATGTCCCTTGGGGGTATGTTGCTTACTTGTCTAGATCTAATATCTATGCTTTCCTATTTTAAACGACCAAATATAGACGATTGAATTTTGCGGGCGAAAGAAGAGGGATGAAATCTGAGAGAGTTGGTTATATCTGATAACGGTCCCCTCAAAATGGTCACTCTTTCCCGTTTTCGGATTGGACGCTCGTTTGAGCTTGTTGGAGTGTAATTTCATATCAATATTTATGAGGTTTAATCTAAAAAACGATTGATAATGAGAGGAATAGCCCATATATGTTATAAATCTTGTTAGGTCTCTTGATCTTTTCAAAGTAGGATCTTAATAGATCTTGATCGACCAGATCAGTTTCCTTTTGGGTCTTGTTGGTAAAATCTTACTATGTTTTCAAAAGAAGTTCAAAAAGTTTGGATCATCTCCAATTCCAGAAGTGGAAAGGATGGATGGATCGTAACTAAACATCAGTACTTTCAACCTGAATTTTTGTTCTTTTATGTTGGTTCTTATAACAAGTTAATGTTTTTCATCGATTAGGATGTTCCTAAGCTCGGTTCGAAGACTTCGCATAATGAGAACATCCGAAGCCAATGGACTAGGTATTCGATATAAGATCTTCTTGCATCCAACATCCTATGTTCTCCTCCATTAATGTTTCCTAAACTTAGCTCACTACCAATTGCAGCTCCAAGATCTCAAGACAAGAAACTGAAACAAAGGAGCAAGCCCATCTGAAATCGAATCGCAACTGTCTGTCTCGAATACATCCTAGATCTACCCGAACGAGAAAAAATGCACAGTTTGACTACAGAACAGACATAGGGAAGAGAATGAAAAACAGATTGCTGTCGAAAGATTTACAGTTACTTCTACTCTCCTTTTTTTGTTGTTGGCTTTTTTTGGTCTTTTGGGATTCTGAAGTGTTTCAATGCTGGTTCTTGCTGGCCTTCTGTTTTATTTTTTTGGGTTTTATAGGCCATATGATTTTAGCCCTTAAAATCTCTTTATATTATAGAGTGGTTACCTTTACCATACAAAAAGTGTACACTTTTGGTGGATGCTTTCTCATACTGTACATAAGGGAAACACTTTGATTGATATCTGTGGAGTTGAGTTTGTTGCAATCTGAGAACCTTCTGCCTTTCAAGTTATTATTATTCCTCATTCATATAGCAGCTTCGTTCCTATCTCGAGGATTAGAGTACATGGCTACGAATCAATGTCGAGGCTAGAAAAATATCACATTTTCCTTTAAAGTGGCGGATGGAAAACCAACTTCAGGGACTAAAATAGAGCATTTTTAGAACCTCGAGTAAGTGTAAGATTTTGAAATTTATGGCAAACTTTTTGGTGACCAAAACAGCATTTATCCCAATTCTTAAATATGATTTTTGCATTATTTATAAACAACACGAGAAAAAATTGTTTCAAAAAAATAAAAACACAATAAAAATGATTTTGTTCATTTATTTCTGAGAGAAGTAGAAATTTTGATGAGTGAAGTTGACTTGGGAGAAATTCATGGATCGTATTATCTGACCGATTGGATTGTAATTTTGTTTAACTTAAATAATTCTAATTAAGTTATGGACCTTCCGACTTTATATTTTAAATCCTTTGATAAWAATAATAATAATAATAATAATAATAACACAACAGTGGCAAACAGCCTTGATGGGAAATCCATGGTGATGAGAATTTTGATGTTTGGTTTATGGAACAACTGTATTTCCACCATCTGTCAACGTTCTTAGTCATTAGCCTATTTTTCAACTTTTCAATCATCATTTTTCCATTATTTTATTGTATATATTTTTTTTGGTGGGTGTGAAATCAATTTTAGAAAAAAAAAAAATTCCCTCCATGGAATTTATATCATAGTCATTGTTGGATTTTAATCATTTAAATTTGAAAATTTTGAAAAATTCAACAAATTAGTTTTTAAAATATTTTACGTATGATCATGGTTAAGAATATTAGTTAAATTATATTTCTAGTCTCTCTATTTATTTTTTCAAAAAAGACGACTTTTGTCTGAAATTTAATGGAAATTATAAAAAGAACCGTTAAATTAAATAGCCATCATTCATCAAATGACATAAAAGCCTTTAAATGTGTCACGAAAATGATGTCATTGGAAGTTGGAACCCTAAAAGTTGGAAACTTTTAAGAATTGCAATGTCAATTTTAGGGTTTCAGTAAATTCCAAGCAAGTCCATGAAGGGGGAGACATTAATAAAAATAGAATCATTTTATAAAGAACAAATTCTACTTTATAATAAAGTAAAGAATAGTTTTAAATGTCATTTTTGTTGTTAAAACAATTTTAGTCTCTCTATATTCTGCCTTTTTTATTGTTTTTGTTTTTTTTTTCATTTATATACTTTCAAACCTTTATTTAGACGTCGTCTATTTTGATCCCTCTATTTTTATATCTTTTTTTTTATCACAATTTCATAATAATGCTATACTAAAAAAATTCTTGCAATGTAATTATAACTTTACATTAAAATGTTTCATTGAGTATAATTTGTGTTAAAATTTTACAAATAGAGACTAAAATGGTAACTTTTCAAAATTACCGGAACTAAATTGAACAAAAGTTAAAAGTATAAAGATAAAAAGATAATTTAAAAATATATGAACCAAAATTGAAATTACATGTTTCTTAATTTATGTGATGTTTGAAATTACATGTTTCTTAATTTATGTGATGTTTGCTTTCGAGTCGATGTTGACATGGACCAAACATTCTAGAAAGACATAATAAAGACATTGAATTTATTAAAAAAAAAAGGAAAAAAAAAGAAGAAAAAAAAGGAAGACATTGAAGATTCTACACCTCTCATCAACAGTTCAAGTACTCTTCTAGTGAAGAAGATAAGGTGTTACATAGGCATAAATTTTTATTTTTTATTTTTAAAAATGGAACACTATTAGACAAAAATAATAATATAGTCACTCAAAAAGAGAGAGAGACCATGTAAATGTTATCACATCACTCTTATGTTAAAATCACTAGTGGAAGTGTGACTGAAGAGCTCATTTCAACATATTTTACAAACCAAGGGATTGAGAATCAACATTCAAACTATAGAATCACAATTGATTTTGTTCTATAAATATATTCTCTTATCTACTTTATTTAGACTAAGGAGATGGGTGAAATAAATAGCGGGAGTGTGTCAATGACACAACTATGGTTATGGTTAAGGCATATATCCCCAACCAGAAAGTTGAAGCGAATTCCCACCCTACATGTTGAATTAAAACAAAAAATAGCAAAAGGTGTCACCGAAAAAATGAAAGCTAGCAATTTCAACAAAAATTCAGAATCATTTAAGCAGATATGTAGCTATCCCTATCCCAGTTCCTCACTAAAGAACTCGAAGAAGGAACTAGACCAAAATCCGCTTCAATATTTTACAGTCACTGTCTTCTCGACCTGCCCTTGTTTCGACATCCATGATCATCGATCCTTGTTAATAAGAAATTTTAGTTTGGTTATGATTGATGCAGAATGAAACCATAGAAGACATCATACTACTTGATAGGACAAACTATTAAGCATCATCGATTTTTCAAATGAATGCAAATTATACGTACCTACTGAAAGAAACCATCAGCTTTTGGCATTCAGTTTCTCCAAGAGAATCTTGTTTAGAATCCCTGGATTTGCTTTACCTTTGGATGCTTTCATTACCTGCAAAAAGAGATACCATTTCACTAAATGCAGAGGAGGGAGAACCGTGCTAGAGCGGGTTTGCGACAATGATAAATCGAGTTCCATGATTCCATCTAGACTTTACCTGGCCAGCAAAGAAGCCTTGTAACTTAGTTTTGCCCCCGCGATACTGCTCTAGCTGCTTTGGATTCTCTGCCAGCACTTTTTCCACCATTCTTTCTATTTCGGAAGGGTCTGCAATCTGCCATTGTGAAACAACCAGAAACGATAGTCCTTTCGATTAGTTACTCGTGTCCTATTGTCGTTGTTCAGTAGACTATTCACCAGCTATCCATTTGCTTCATTCCTTTTAACAGTTAGTCTAAGCTATTCTAGAAAATAATAGACGATCAATTTCTGATAATAAACAACAACTTGCCTGAACCAAATCCTTTTCTTTGATCAGCCCCTTTACAGTTCCGCCATTAGCTAGCAACTCGAAAAGAATCTGTACAGCATATGAAAATAAAATGCCGATATAAGATACAAAATGATGGAGGTCTATCAACTAATTAGAACAAAAAGATGTTAGCATTTAGACTGCATCTGCAACCAACCATCAAATTTAAGGTGCATTTGAAGAACACTTTCGAGAAGTCAATATACAAGAAGCGAAATGTACCTCTTTCCCGATCTTTCCACTAATCGTACCACCTTTTATTGAAGCTATCAGTTCAGCAAGCTCTTGGGGAGTGAGTTTAATGTCATTTATAGTTAACTTCTCATTTTTCATGTATGCAGCAATGTCACCCATTATCCAATTGGCAGCCAGCTTCACTTCGGCCCCCTTTGCTATAGTTGCATCGAAAAACTCGGCCACCTAAGATATTATGCAGCAAAAGTTCAAAACAGAGCAAGTATATTCCAACATACACTGAACAATTATTGAAGAGACAAATCATGGTAAATGCTTTTAAGACTTGTGCTTTAAGTTTTGCCTTGTTTTTCCTTCTAGTTCAACTTGAAAGTATTTTGTGCATCTACTATTTGGGGTACTTCTCTATTACTTTCGAAGCCAGAAATCTTTCCTTATGAAAGCTATTGCTCTGCCATAGTTTCATTGCAATACCAATTTATTTTGTGTGTGTGAATATAAATTCTGAGGTAACTAACACTGATGTCATTTGCGAGGAAAAGCACATCCTGCATGCTCAGGCCCATATTCTCATATCTTCGACGCTTCATCTCTGGAAGTTCGGGCAAAGAATGACGAATATTATCAACGTATTCTTTTGTGAGGATGACTTCTGGAAGATCAGGCTCTGGAAAATATCGATAATCAGAAAGTCCTTCCTTTTTCCTCATTGTAATTGTTTTCTAAGCAATAATACACAGGTGTGCACATGAGTGGACAAGAATTACGAGAATGATCATAAATTATATCTGATGCTAAATGGAGAATGTATGAAAAAACGTAAGAGTAACCTGAGCGCCTTCTTCCCAGAGTCTGGTTTCCTGTACAATTTGATCACTTTGGCCTTGACTATGGAGAAGTACTTGTCTTGAAATTTCAAAATCAATTGCTCTGCTCACTGATGAAAATGAGTTCAAGTTCTTTATCTCAACCTGCAAATCAATGAACGTGACTTAATATAATAATGACTCCATAATGCAATCAGTTGGTTCGTATCGAAAAAAAGAACATAAACTTGATCGGAAACTCGATGATCCTTTATTTTTCGTACTCATCACTAAATTCTTCTTACCCTCACATTTTGCCTACCCCTTTACAAATAGTTCCTCCTTCCCCAGCCGCTCACCTCATAACTGAACTTCAACAACTAACTATTATTTAAGACGCCCTGATCAATAGATAAACGAAAAGAAGCATACATAGTTTCACAAACACAAGTTCAATTTGTATGTGCTAGAATAATTGAATCATTTAAAGGAGTAGGTGATATTTGTCAAGCAGCTAAATTTAGTTGATACTCAACCACCTATCCAACTAAAACTTATGAAGGGTAAAAAGATGCCGATTGACTAAGAGAATATGCTTTGAAAACTAGTAAGGTTCCAACTATATTTTTGTAGAGTCCCATTGATGATGACTATATACCAAATAATGAAACACTTCCTAGCGTCTGATTCCCATTACTGATTACTGCACAGAAACGGTATTTCTAAGAGAACTAAACTACCTTTGTTCCAAACTGAGACTGCCCTATAGGTCGAATGGAGACATTAACATCGCACCGAAGCGAACCTTCTTGCATGTTTCCATTACTTACACCCAAATACCGAACCAACCTTTGTATCTCTGCAGCATACTCTGCAGCTTCAATCCCAGTTCTCATGTCAGGTTCAGAAACAATCTCAAGTAAGGGCACTCCTGCTCTGTTCAAGTCAACCTGCAAATAACTTAAACAATCAATATAGCAGCCATCATGAAATTGATATATTGAGACTGCCCATAAAATTGATCAAAATACAGTTCTGTTAAGACCATATACTAAAATATTTGTTTAGAAAGAGGATCGAATAAAAATGAGACCAGGGATGCAAAATTATTTCCTGAGAGTAGCTTCCACTTTCAGAGTGAAGCAGCTTCCCAGCATCCTCTTCCATGTGAACTCTGGTGATACCAAACCGCCTATGCCCACCACCAAACTCGATAGGAATATCAAGATCAATATAACCGCCACTCGCAATCGGGACATCAAACTGAGATATTTGATAGCCCTTGGGGAGGTCCGGGTAAAAGTACTGTTTCCTATCAAATTTTGAGTTGAAAGACAAACTGCAGTTTAGTGCAAGACCCAACTTCACAGCAAAATCGACCACTTTCGAGTTCAAAACAGGCAAGGCACCCGGAAGACCCATACAAATGGGGCAGATATTGGTGTTGGGTGAAGAACCATAATTGTAAGGGCAGCTACAGAAGGCCTTTGTGAGAGTGGAGAGCTGGACATGGGTTTCAATACCAATAATAGCTTCATAGTCCTTAGAGATTTTGTCAATAACCTTTTTATCGAAATGTGGCGAAATCGCTGTAGGCCTTTGCTTTTCTTGAGTTGCTGTTTGGGATTGAGAGGCTTTCACAGAGAAATACAAAACTCTATTCCTTCTAGAAAACAAAGCAGCAGGATAAATCAATAAAGGTTGAGTTCGAAAGCATCTTAATCCTGCAAATGCCATTTTAGTACCCTCAAATCTTATTCCAGCATCAAACAGGAAGAAGAAAACGCAGCTGCAAATTACAAAACACCCAAAATTGCATTAGAAACGAGAAAAAAGCAATGCAAATTGAAACCAACTTAAAATTCACAGATAGAACAGCTAAAACACGAAGAAAACTTTCAAAATTTAAATTCAATTTGGAATGAAATTAAGTAGCACCCATCTGATGCGTGGTGGAAAACAATGCATCCCAAAGCATAAAACGATTACAAAAACCATTCACGAGTACAAATTGGCATAATCAAAATGAGAACAGAAAAAAAAAAGGGAAGATTAAAGAAATTCAGAAGATTGTTTATTTGTAATTTTTAAACTAACCCAATCGCCGGCCAGCATCCGCAGGGAATCCGGTCAATGAAACATCGAACGCTCACTGAACTTCAAAGGGAGCCACCCAGTTATCCCTTCAATTGCTAGCGTTTCAGATAAAGGAGGGGAAAAAAAATCTTCAGAGCCTCGAAGGAGAATTTTCATTTTCCGAAACTATTTCCATCTTTGCCAAAAAAAAAAAAAGAAAAAAAACCATTTCCTATTAAACAAAATCATAAATTTTATATTTCTATGTATTATTTTTAGTAATACAAGTGGGAGCCGTGAATTCCACCTCATGATCCGTTGATTAAATGTCAATTACAATTAAGTTCATATATATTTAAATTTGAAAAAATTGTAAAATTAGTATCTCTCAAATTAAATTTAAAATAATATTATTATCCAAATTAAATTTCGTAAATGATATTTTTAGAAAATAAATAAAGCAATTACATAAATCAACGCGAGTTTAATTTTGTTTAATACAATATGTGGGGTTGATGATTCGAACTTTCAACCTCATAGTTGAAATATGTGTCTTAATCCGCTGAAATTTCAACCTCATGGTTGAACGTTACCATATGGGCCCTATAAAATTACAAACCTGACCAGTTAGGAAATGTGCAGTTTAGGGCATATATTTACACTATTGAACAATATTGAAAGCTAATCTCTTTTTTCTATTCATTAGTCGAATTACATGCAACGAGTATGATTTCATACGTGTCAGACATATTCTTTATTGCTAAAACATTTGTATTAAAGTTTAGAGATAATTAAATTGAAAGTCCAAAGTTAGGGTTTAATTTTCTTTTTCTTTTTCTTTTTAATCAATAACACTTCACTAGTATTAAAAAAAAAAAATAATAATAAAATAACACTCCACTCAAATTCTAAGTTAAAATCATCTTGCCAATTAAGAAGTTGAGTAAAAAGTTCAACATTGAATTTTTATAAAATTAATGGCCAAATATGCTAGGAGGCTGCAAAGATGCTCAATGGGCTACATCTTTGATAGCAAGGAGGTAATTTGTCTGCAGGGCGATTCAGATAGTAGTTTTGTAAGATAAGTATTTATATTTACCAAATATTAATAACATTAATCAGTAATATGTGAAATACTAATTATCTGACAATTGTGAAGAAAAAAAAAAGACAAATAAATTTATAACACGCCATTAGTTAATACTTAATGGTTTAGATCCTATTTCAAACTAAATAATATGAACATCCTCGGTGGGTTAATTTTTTAAAAAGTTGTTAGATTTATATTAAAATAATGTTTTCATTTAAAATAGAATTTATGAAAGTTAGAAAAATAAATAGTTTAGGCATTATTTGATAAGTATTGTTTTTAGTTTTATGTTTTTAAAAATTAAGTTCGTAAAGATTACTTACACATGTTTATTTGTTGGTTTTGCATATATTTTTTAAAATCTAAACTAAAACTTTAAAACTACAAAGAAAAATAAAAAGTAATTTTTGTTTTTGGAATTTGAAGTTCAAGCGTGTTTTTAAGAAAAGTTAAAATATACCTAAGGAAATTAGGAGCAAACTAAGTTAACTTTTAAAAAATAGAAAATTAAAAATGAAATAGTAAACAAAATTAATTTAATTTGAATTGTCAATTCTTTTTTATCTTTATTTTAAATTTTTGTTTGAAAGTAGTTGCCAATGTTTAATCAAAGTAGTTGTCAAATGTTAAATTAAAGCAATTTATTTATTACAGAAACAAAGCTGAAGAGAAAGAGCAGTTGAGTAGAATTTTACTTAAAAAACAAATGCTTTTTCTTGACTTTAATTTCAGAGAATGAAGAGATTTACACGAATCTTGTCCCCATTTTGCCCAATTTCTCCCAACTGATTTTCTTAGCAAACTCATCAGCAAAAAAACCAGTGCTGGGTCCAGGAGCCCCTTTCGATTTTGAAAATCATCGCCATCTTTAGCTGCGGAATTCTCTGGGATTGCTTCTGATTTCTGCCGGTAATGGCGGTTGGGAAAGCAGCTGCGGCTTCGATGTAGAATATCTGCAAGACCAAGAGTATTTGTAGAAGAAGAAGAAGAAAATGGAGGTCCAGCAGCCCTGGAGGCTCAGATTCTCGTTCAAGAATGCGACCATAGCTATGTGCTTGCTGAACCTGGTGGCTGCTTTTTTCCTGCTTCAGGGCTTTCTGTCTGCTGCCTCTTCCCGCAACAGACCCTCATCAACAAATCCAAGTTTGGGTTCGTCTCCTCCTTCTTCAATTGTTTTTCTGCTCTTCTTTGGGAGTTTTTGATTCTGGGTCTTGTCAATTTCTGCAAATTCCTTGTGAAGAGTCAGAATTTTTTATTGGGGCTTTATTGGAAGTTTGTGATTTTTTGAACTGAATATTGCTTGATTGTTTAGTTGAGGGCTGGCTGAGGTATTCTGTACCACAAGGAAACAAGAAATTGCATATTTGAGGACTTGAAATGGTCATCTGCAAACCCATTTAGCCAAAATTTAGGAATCATCAATGATGACAGAGGTGGACTTGAACGCAAAAAAATAGACCCTTCCTAGATGTTATTGCAATCCCTACAGAATTGTAAATTGGTTATCATGAATAAAAAATTTCGCAGCTCTGATATGTGTACAAGTTTGAGATGGATCAGACATCCATGTTATTGAAATTTTGGGTTTCCTAAAAGTCCAGAATCTGTCGGATCAAATGTCATAAGGACCTGGGCCAACATCAGCTTAGCTTAGTGTTAATCGGCACCTGTCTCTGACTAAGAGGAATCCTCACCCCTACTCAAGAAAAGAAAAAAAAAAAAGTCATAAGGACCTGGGATTATCTGTTATAAACAGAAAGCATAGTTTGATTATCTTTTATTACAGAGATCGCCTCCCACGGTAGAGTGAAGATGATCATCAAAATGGCAGTAATAGATTTGGTTCAGACTCTGTTTGGGATTTTCTGTTTTTAGATCTACTTGGGATGACAGGTTGAGACCTCACATGACTGTGATAGAAACTAATCTCTTCTTTTCATTTCAAGAAAAAAAAATTAAGAGAAGGGTATTTGGAAGACTTTAAGCTCTCCTCCAATTATATTCTAAAAATTTAAGATAAAAACTCCCTAATAGATAACTCTCACATCTCTCCATGCGTTTAGCAATCAATTGGCAGAAGGGAAAAGCTTTGGTCCCATGGTGGTGGTCCATTGCCTTGCCTTGTGCAAAAGCTTAAGCTTTCAAATTTCCATAGCAATTGTTAGAGGAGGCTCGCGCCAGAGAGAGCAGCTCGAAGTTGGAGGAGACTCTCCATCACCCTCTGTCTAGGGATAGGGGCCGTTTGTGGCAGACGAGATTCTTTGTCATTCTATGAAGTTTGTGGGTTGAGAGAAACAGCAGGATTTAAAGGGGTGGAGAGATCTTTGGAGGAGGTGCGGGCTCTTGCTTGGTTTCACATGTCCCTTTGAGCATCAGTGTCCAAAATTTTTTGTAATTACTCCTTAAGATTAGTCTGGCTAGATTGGAGCCCATTCTTTTAGTTTGGCTCCTTTTGTTGAGCTATTTTTTTGTATGCCCTTTCTATTCTTTCATTTTTCTCGATGAAAGCTCCATTTTTCATTAAAAAAATAAGAAAAAAAGAACTCACGGTGATTATTATGTCTTTACGATCTATATCAGACCTAAGTAATTTGCCATTCTTTTTTAATATAATAGACACTTCCATAGTATAACCAGATCATTTTCATCACATATTTGTGGAAAATCCATAAGGTGGTTGTAATAAGTGCTTTTGTTCAAAAGTCAAGTGATCCTCTTAGCATACAATGTGGGTGGATATTAACTTCTGAATTATTGGGATAAATTTGACCACTGTCAAATTCTTCACTCATATTATTCTTCATTTTTGGCAATTGAGAATGAATTATGATAGTTCATTCATGCGAACCCTTTCTTATTACACAAGTTCGTCGCTCTCGACTTGGTAATACTGAATATCTTGTACACTTGGTTCATATAGTAGTTTTTAATTTAACGCGATTATTTCGTCTCATGTAACTTATTGATCTGAACTTTGCTGTGGAAAAAAGACTTTCATCTGAATTTGGTTTAAAGCCCACCTTTGCTTTTGCTCCTTACTTCATGATTCTTACTCGCTGTCTGACTGGCTTGCTAACTTGGGATATATTATGTGAAAATTCATACTGCAGGTCAACTCAAATATATCAGGGAATCGGAAGAGATTCGATTCGCCATGCAACCTTTGGAACTGATTAAAAGGGTAAGCACTTTTCATAATCTCCGAGCTAATTCTGAAGCCAGATATTTTTCTACGAAAGGGCAAAATAGTGAGAAAACTTTAAAGTCTCTTGAATAAATGTCAATGTCTCAATTTCGTGTGGTTAGATGTACATGCATAGGCGGGTTTGTTTGGGTTGGGATCAGCCACGACGATATGATAGTTCAAAGAAAATAATAATCGAACCTCTCATCCAAAAAGAAGACAAAAGAACCAACACAAAAATTGACTAAACCCAAATCAACAGCCACACATATATTTTAAGTTGCAGAAACGTGAAGATAATGACTTCATTCAATCAACCGACCAAGATCATTTAGTAATTTGGTCTTTCTTTCTTCATTTTATTCAGGTAAGGGAAATTGAACGGGAAGCACACTATGAAACAGAAGTTGTACAAGAGAAAGACTCCAAGCAAAATGCTGCCATCGATCTTTCTAAAAGGTTGAAAGACTTCCGTTCTCTCAATGATGCTTCCAGCTTAAAAGGTACCGTATTTTCAGCTCTGCACTACTTCAGTTTCATAAAATATAAACCCAAGATTTAATTGGTCAGTTCTGTTTGATTCTTAGTTGCCAATTAAATATGACATAATTGATTAAGACATATATCATTGACCAACTCAAAAAAACTGTCACTTGTTAGTCTCAGTTTTGTGATTGGTTTTGTTGGTTATAATCGAGTCGAACCGAGATTATTACATGAACAAATGATTTGTGACACAGCTCTGGAGGAATGGAGGAAAAGGAAGATGGAAAGAGCAAGACTGCGTGAAATGGAGAAAAATGGAACACTGAGCTCTCCTTCTCAGCCTCGAAAACACAACTCATAAATCTGTACCTTAAAGTCTATGAACCTTCGTTAATCATTGTCCCTTACTTACTTCCCTTGTATTGTATATTAAACTTGTCTCTCTGATTCTAAAGTAAAAAAAAGATGAAAGCATTATACCTCTTCTTTAGTCTTTTAATAGTTAACTGCATGCCCTTTTTACAGTAATAAAGTTTTGAGTGATTCATAAGCTCAAAACTGATATATATATATAGTGAAAATTTTCTTTTATGAGCAATATTTGATGGTATTTATAATATTTTACATGTCACATTATTACAAAGTAAAATAATATTAAATCTAGGTGGAGATCAAAGACAGCAAAGAGGGGGAGATAGGAGGATATAATTCACATGGTTAAAAGGGATTTCTTTCTAATGTTGGAAGAAACAAGCAAAATATACTATTTTTCGCTCTATATTTTTAACTTTGGAGCCTTTTGAATCAATGTACTTTCAAAACCTTTATTTTGATTCTTGATAACGTTTGTTCATTTTAGTTCTTATATTTTCATTAGACCTGTTTAATCTTTTAAGTAGTAAAATTTTAACACAAAATTTACCTTAAAAACCTTTCAATAAAAAAACTATAGCTACATCTAAAAAAATTTAGAGAATGAAATGTCACGTTAAACGAATGCACCAAAGTAGACACGTTTTGAAAGTACAAAATGAAAATGAACCGAAATTGAAAATACATGGATAAAATGGTATCAAAATAGTATTTAACTCTATATCATCGTAGCTAACAACTTTTGTTAGAACAAAATTACAATATTATCGTCCGTGAATATTCGGACCGGCCATCTTAATTAACAAAACCATATCTAATCTAGTCTTCACAAGTCATAAACCAGGGAAGATCTCTGTTTGTGCTGCCGCCAAGGCTTGAGAAGTACACAACAAAAGCACTTGTGAGCCCCACAGGATGAACCATCTGCAAAGCCAGGCCCACACTCCACCGTCTGATCAACTTCGAGATTCAGAGAGAGAGAGAGATCTAGAGAGAGAACTTCATGGACAGGCATTGACAGGTGTCCCGCCACGTGTACCTATGAGGAAGCCATGCAAAACAGTTGGTTCACACGTGTCACCCTCTACAAACCCTTACCTCTCCTATATATCTTCCATTACTCACAAACTCTAGCAATTAAAGCTTCACTTTTCTTATCTTATCTGTTTTTCTGTTTGTTTTCTAGAGAGAGAAAGAGGAGAGAGAGAGAGAGATGGCTCAAACCATGGGAAGGAACATGGCAGCTCCACTGCTGTTTCTCAACTTGATTATGTATTTCATTCTCATAGGTTTTGCTAGTTGGTGTCTTAATAGATACATCAATGGCACTACCTACCATCCTAGTAAGTACTCCAATGCTTTCAAAATCAAAACTTTTGGCTCTATTTTGTATAAGGGTATTTTTGGTTTTTCCTATTGTTATATGTTTATTGGAAGTTTTGTAATTGGAAAAAAGAACCCCCTAATTTGGTTAAAGCTTCCACACCTTAAAAGATGAAAGTGAACAAACCCTACAAAAGTGCATATCTTGTAGTTTAAGAAAATATTTACAAAAAGAAAAATTGTAAGTATGTATAAAACTAATCCAAATTCCAAACCCTTTTCATTTTTTTTCTCTCTTTAGAATTGATTAAACTAAACGAAAAGTTAAATCAGATTTTGGACTTTTTTTTTTTGACAAATTACAGCAAATTGGTATATGGGTCATTTGCAAATTTTTGTAAACCTACAAAATTGTATAGTTTTCAGGGTAATTTTTTGCTCTTGTTTCATCTTTAGTTCATAAGTGGATAATTTTGTTTTGGACTGAAAGGTATGGGAGGCAACGGAGCGACGCCGTTTTTCTTGACATTCGCAATGCTGACGGCGGTTCTCGGCGTAGCGTCGAAACTCGCCGGCCTCTACCATATCAGAGCCTGGAGAAGCGACAGCCTCGCCGGCGCCGGCTCAGCTTCCATCATCACCTGGGCTGTAACTGTTCTAGCTTTTGGGTATGTTTATCTCTCTCTCCCTCTCCTCTCAATTTTCACACATTTCTCTTAGAGAGAGAAACTCAGGCACTGGTTTTTTTCAGGTTGGCCTGCAAGGAAATCAGCATAGGAGGGCATAGAGGGTGGAGGCTGAGAGTGGTGGAAGCTTTCATTATAATATTGGCAGTCACTCAGCTGCTGTATATTTTGCTGCTCCACGCTGGAATCTTCAGCCGCGAGTACGGCCCGGGGTATCGGGAGACAGACTACGGCATGGGAGGAGGGACGGCCGCCGGCGAGGTTCCGAAGGGAACCGCCGGGACCAGGGTGGTTTAGGACACAAGGCTGTGTATTATATCAGTGGGGTTTAGGGTTTAGGACCTCTTGTTTCGTTTTTCTGTTTTATCTTTTCTAAGAATATGGTTTTTGGGTTCTGTAATATCCTCCAAATGCTTCAATGTAGGGATCAATTTGCTTACAAGTTTCTAGCTATTTTATATTTGGATGGTTTAATAAGGATGTAAATGTAATGGTTCAATATTTCCTACGTTTCAGTCAACAGAACAGATATATGTAAAAAGATTCAGTCAACAGACGAATCCATCCATCATCAGAGTCTGAAGTTCAAATCTGACGAAAGTGATTCCAAGTCAACTTTTAATTCGTATCAGGTGATAAATCAAATCACTAACGGTAACTAAAAGAAACAACTAGAATTTATGCATATAACTTGATCTCAAGGTCCCCTATTTTAAGAAAAAATCCAATTAAAAGAAATCAATCTTCCAAATCCAGAATCACCCTCCTCTACTTAGACGAAGCTTAAATTCTCAGACAATGCTAAAGTTCTATATTTATTGAATCTTTACACGGACTGGTTAAGGAGCTAAGATGAGTTTCAAAACTGATTAATTTTGAGCTATATAAACTTGTGTACAAATCTTACAAATTTCCAACAACACATAGCTGATTTTGATTGCGGAACTGGGTTGGAGGTTTTGATGGAAAAAAAAGATTTCCCAAACATACATTACCCAGAAGAAATTAAGCATATGACTAAAGAAACATCATGAACGAATTTTTTTTTCTTGAAGCTAAGAAGCAAAACTGGGGCAAGTAACTGCAGAGACTAAACTTACTATTCTTCACATTATGCGGTGCCTTCGTTAATGAAACCTTCCTTGCGACCTTCAAAACCAGGGCGCATAAGTTTCTTCTCCCTCTTTGCAATCCGCCTCATCTTCTTATCGTGGATTTTGTGAGCTATGTTTTTTGATCTCTTCTGTTGCCTTTCTGCTTTCATCTTCTGGGTGGTTTCAATCCTCTCTTTCCATTTCTCAACATTCTTCAGCTGCTGTTTCTTTTCCTTCCGCAAGCTCTTCATCAGGAGCTTTGGATCATCGTGAACTTTATCACCCGCAGCTCTACTTGTTGCTGCTTTCCAAGAATGCTTCTTCGAGATCGTCTCACCTTTCTCGGGATCTTTCTTCGCTTCCTCTAATCTTTTTGCATTTTCGAGCTCCTTCAACTTTGAGAGCCTTCTCTTCTTTTTCTTCCCATTCTCTTCTTCAGTTCCGAGTTTTACATGACTAAACGCCAGTTTTTTGGAAGCCTCAACTACACTCCTCTCCACTTCACTTGTTGAGCGGGTGGTGGAGGTTGCTGATTTCTTTTCCTCAGGTTCAACTTCTCTCTTGCGTTTCTTCTGAACAAGTTCCCACCTCTCATTTCGTTCATTCCTCTTCTTTTCCCTATTTGAACATCCTGTGTTTCTATTTGCCCGGAACTCCTCAAGTTTTCGATGAAGGCGTTGTCGAAGTTCTTCATATGTCACTGACCGTTCGTCATCATCCAACCCAGATGTCATTGGCTTAACATCCTTTTCTTCATCATCACTTTCGTTTTTCAACTTTTCCTTTTCTAAGCTTTGCTTAAGCAAATCAAGGGTTGATTTAGAATACTTCTCTGGATCCATACGATCTCGTCGAGCTTTCTTAAGGTTTTCCTTTGATTCCTTCTTAGCCAAAACCTTCTCGGTCTTGCTTAAGCCCTGAAACCAGGGCTTGTCTTTCTCATCGTTAGGTAAATAGAACCTTGCAGGAATGAGCTCGACTAGCTTGTCGAAGAACAGTGCATGCTGATGGATGATGGACTTCAAATCAGCGCCGGAATTAGAATCTCCAACGGTCTTCTGCTTTTTCTTCTTCTTCATCTGCAGGAACTCGATAAATAAGCAAGGAGGAGCAGGAATAAGATTTTTTAAGAAAAAGTGAAATATCTCAAATCAATTATTCTTCGTTTTCACTTCCCTTCTTCACTTGCAGCAAACCAAGTAAGCAATATGGAATAATGGGTACAGAACTCAAATAAGTCTAAAAGTTGCATTAAAAAATTTTGAATAGAAAAATTTGCACATTCCTTCAAATTCTTGTAGTTCAAATATCTATTCAAAAAGTAAAGAATTCCTTTCCAACCTAGTCTTAGATATGGGTGTATATCTGTGAACAGACGAGGCAGAAGGGAGAATAGAACGAAAAGAAGAGATAGAGGGAGCTGCGAGTTGAAACCAGAGCATTGAACAAATGGGCGCAAAAGGGATCAAGATTAACTTCTGCGTATGCTTGATTGTCGATTTACCACGTCCACTCCTGTTAGAACTTCAAATCATACATGGAAATCAGAAAAACTCAAGTTTTTGACCTCATGAGTTGAAATCGAAAAGATCGAAAGTCGGAGATGACATCGAGATACATTCGCTTCCTTGATGCTCCTTCGACGCTTGCTGATAGATAAACGGTTCTTCGGTCTGAGGGAGAGAGCTCTCCGATGGTCTGAATGGCATTTTTAAGGACAAGATGCTAACTTATTTGGGTTAGTTTAGATTGGTTCGATCAGTTAGTTCAACTCACTGGAATAGAGTTCGAAGAATGGTCTCGGTAAACACAGAACATCAAGGTTTCTCAAGCTGGCAAATCAATTCTCCACAATACCAACACTTCAAATATAAACGAATAAGAACTACAGTGAGATATTGCCTATTATCACCGCGGCAATGTAAAGAAATTAGAAAAAAGTTGCCAAATGCAACTACCCAAAAAATTCAAATTTTATCCCAAAAACAATCCATTTAAGAAATTTGGAAGAGTTAGGTATCGAATAGCTACATTGTACAGAGTTCCTAAACCAGATAAATAGTGAGATTCAGAATTATCTTTCCAAGAACTGGATGGAAATCCAAACACCACTGAATAAATTTAAAAAAAAAAAAGACTGAAACTCCTCCTATCCTCAGAATCCAAGAAAGTCTAAGATCTACGTAATGCAGAAGGGCTATTCTGCCATTAAAGATAGAAAAAAGGAAGAAGATAATACCTTCATTTGGGAAGAGGAAGCGACTTCCGCTTCAGTATTTGGCGGAGCCATGCGCATAACCCAGAAAATTAGGGCAGAAAAATGGAAGAAGCGTTGTTTCTATCTTTTATACTTTTTTATTGAGGAGGAATCTTTATTTTTAAATGAAGGTGTTGGGCTTGGTACAAGGCGCCCCATTTTAAATATTGGGCTGGGCTTTTGTGGTTTGTGAGGCAACCAAAACACATAATGTAGAAATTGGAGTTTTAAATGCAGTTTGGTAAAGTTTCATTATTTGTTTACTTTGTTTATTGTTTCTCCTTCTCAATTTTTGAGAAATAGTATTGAATAATTTTTTTTGGTCATTTTGTAGAAATGTTACTAAACGAACTTGTAAATTGGTCATTAGAAAGCATCCTTTCACTAAGCTTTACTTTAGCTTTCGATGACTATGATATTTTTAAAAATTTATAAACATCACTGTTTAAATTTCTTGTTATTAGTATTTATTCACACGAAATTTCCTGAGAAATTATATTTCGTGGAGTTGAACTTTTATTTTTGTAGTATGTGTTGTATAGTGGATTTAATATCTAATCTTTATCTTCTGATTCCTTCTCTCGAGCTTGATGTGAAAATTAAGATGCTTGTTCTTGAATTTAGATCGAAGTTCTATGTTATTCGAAAGTCTTCAAGTAGTCTTCGAATCTTCAAGTTTGCAGAGAGTGTTTAATTTTGTGTGAATTCTCTCAATTATGAAATTCTAAACCTTGAAAATGAATGAGGTCTCCTCTATTTATGGAGGTTTTCATAGGCTAGTGAGCCATTGCACTTGAATGATTTTGGACCAAACCCAATTCTTTAAATGGATTTATTTAAATTTAAATATTAATCCAATTTATTTCATGATAAATTAGGTTTTTGGCGGAACCAAATCGATTCCAAGCCCAATACTCATATGACCTAATTACATGTTTTAATTGTTAAATTATCTTTAATTTTTGGTTCCACAGTATTATGTATATAATAATATATTTTGTTGAGATTTTCTAATATTTTGTTCTTCCATACAATAGAAATATCAACTCACCTCTCATGATGGTGAGTTGGATATTCAGTTAAAAAATATCACTTAAAATGGAGAATGGAAATTCAAAGAAATAATGATCAGCTGATCACCTTTTTTCTTCACCTCAACTTTTTGGAGTTCTAACACAGCATGAGCTGCAAAGTTGTGAGACAAAATGTTCAATTTTGGTTTTCACCTCAACTTTTTTCTTGTTTTTTTTTTCTTCAATAGTGTTGCAATATTTTTAACCTAGGTTATAAATCTCATGTCTTATCAAATTAAAATTAGAATGGTAAATGTAGAAATTATATTTTGTGAGTAGATTCAATCCCTAGTTTTCAAAACTTCAAAGAATGTTGATGTTCGAATTTCAAGGATGTGTGAAAACGAGGGGAACTCATAGGCTTTAGTGAGCTTTGAGTGGGTGATTTGGATCCAGCTGGCTATATTTTATTTGGTTATGAGCTCAATTTTATTTTTAAATATTTGAGCTTGAGTTATTTTGGACGGAATATTTAGGTGAATTTAGACTCATTCAAATCTACAACAATGATTTTGTGGTAATTTAGGTTTCAGACTAAAATAATTTGTGAATTAATTTGATTATGGACCCAATTTTATATGATCAAATTCAATTAATTAAATCCAATCCAAATAGCCCAAGACATGTTACATTATTTGGAAATTGTAATTTTTTTTAATTAAATACCCTAAAATATGTGGTTGATATCTTAATTAAAATTTTTAAATTAACCAATTTAGTTTTAAAATTCAATATACTTATTTTTTAAACTGGCCAAATTTTTAAAAATAACCTCTAAAACCGAAACATACCTCTTATTATCAAATGTCTAAAGTTTTAGAATTTTAAAAAAGTATATTGAAATTGAATGTGATTCAATTTGAATTCTTTCATTTGTCAAAAAAAAAAAAATTTGAATTCTTTCCTTCTTGAAATTGAGAGAGATAGATTTAAAATTGAAATTTGAAAAAAAAAAATTGAAATTGGATGAGATTATTGAATTTGACTTATTTCCTTCTTGAAATTGAAAA